TGTGTGTGTGTGTGTGTGTGTGTGTGTGTGTGTGTGTGTGTGTGTGTGTGTGTGTGTTTGTGTGTGTGTGTTTGTGTGGAGGGGGTATGCCTAGGCTACAAGACAACTGGACAACTGCAATTTAATGTAATTTTAATATTTCTGATAATTTCTGAGCAGGCCTATGTGTTATGTTCCACTGCTAATTCTCTTTAGTGTGTTTTCACATTTGTGTGATGGAGTTGTGCTATTTAGAATATTTATTCTATATTTTATTTGTATATTATTCTTAATATTTTATATTATTGTTGCTCTCTGCTCTTGTTACATTTTTAATATACCTGATTGTATATATTTTTGGCACATTTATGTATATAGTGTATATTTATTTAAGTTCTGATAACTTATACTGTCATATTTTGTGCAGAATTGTGTTCATTGTCTTTTGGCAATGTTGGAGGTGGAGATTGTGCACCTTAAAAAGTGTGTTTCCTGTTGTAATTGCAATAGTTAAATAACTGGATTCTCTTAAGTGTGTTTTTCAAATGTTCTAATGAAGGATTTGTGCAATTAACAATTGAGAAATATAATTTTCTCTTTCACTTATGTTGTTATAATAAAATATAACTGTTTGTGCAGAATTTTGTGTTTTTTTGGGGGGGAGGGGCGCTCGAAGGGGGTCTCGCCCAGGGTGTAATTCAATGTAGAACCGCCACTGCCTGTCACCAGATCACAAGAAATGCATTTAGCCTTTTCCAAAGCTCATTTTACAAAATGACGTTTGGGGAATCCACAGTCTGGTCTCATGAAGCCAAGTCAATAATTTTGGATCTAACAGCATCCAGGGCAGCAGTACAGTCGGTGGTAGTAAAGTTCTCATAAATGCATTTCTGAGTCCAGAAAGTGTGGGGGAGTTGTGCTTTCCCAATGGTTAATCGATTCACAGATGTAATATACAATTTTAAAACAGAAGAGGCTCCCTCATCTCATTTTCTGCATTGTTTAAAGCTATAAATGTTTACATTAGTAAATGCATAATAAATGATAAAAAAAAATTAAAAAAAAATTAATTGCTTATTGCTAGTTAATGTTAGATAATGCATTATTTAGGTTAACAAATGAGACCTTACTGTACAGTGTTACCAAATAACCATTTAAAAACTAGGTCCAAAAAGAAACTAGGACAGTTAGTTATACTGTAAAACTAGAATGTTATTGTTCCATGGAAGATACCCCACTGCCTCATGTTTTTAGCAAGATAGCAAGAAGACAAAATGTCATTTTTTAAATTACTTTTATTACATTAAGTTTAAAAACAAAGCAAGAAATACAAAAGTGCTTAAAGATCCAAGGTCTCTCTGCAGACTATTTTACAAACAGGCATATCTTTCATAGTTTTATTCCAAATCAGGAGAGAAAACACACGCATCCTTAATCCTGACCCCTCCTACTCCAAAACCACAGCATTCCGTGTATTAACAGAAACTACTCCTCTTATTGGTACACAGTTTCATTCACAGTTGCTGTACTTGCTGAAAAATCTCCACATTACAAATCATGCATCATTCACTTCACTTTTAAATGAATACATCAATCTGAAAATGAAAGTTGAATTATCACCGAGGTGAATACAGACACAATTACATAAAATTTTATGTGAATTATATATTTTTTTGCATTAACATTATGTATGTTTAATGTATAAAGCTGAGAAACTAAATTTAATTCAAATATATTTGTATAAGGCTTACTGAATAAGCATTAATATTGTTACTAAGATGCTTTACTGAAAAATATTACCAAAAAACCCTCAGTGAGTAAAGCCAAGTGACTGTAGTGAGGAGAAACCTCATAGATGGATACAAAACAGTTTTTACAAAACTAGATTTAGATTTGTATATTATTCCTATTGCTGAAAATTACAGCTGTCATTTTGTTAAATTTGTTCATTTAAAATAACCTTGAATAATGATTTATGATTTCTGACCAGGTTTAAGAAAGCAGAACAAAAAGGAAACAGTAATAACATTGCTTTTTATTGTTTGTATAAGCTGGTTACTGTTATAAAGGCATTGACATATTTAACCAATTTTACATTAACCTTGAGAGCCATAAAAAAAATTACAAAAAACACTTAAAAAAAAAAGAACAATCTTTCCTATAATTTTCAGCAAACCTCCAAGAACCTCTTTAATAAAACTCTGTTTACATTGATGTAGTAATACATTTGACAGTTATTAGTGTACATGATCTCTAAACCCACATTTGATTGTAAATATAAGGAGAACTGATTGTTTAGTCTGTCATTATTGCAACAGCTGCCATTTTCCTTATGGCTTCACTTTTGTTTCAGTCAAATGGCTGCTGTACTGACCTCAGTATGAAAATCAGGGCTTATAGTTTCAATTTCATCTACTGAAGCTTCTCAGGACTAAAAAAAAAAGACAAAAAAGACAAACAGAAAGTGAAAATTTCAGTTATATAACTGAACGTATAGGCCATAAAAAAATGCAAAAAAATATTAAGTAATTGTAATTGTAAAAGTAATTGTTTTGATCTAAGCCTAAACACAAATGTGAACTGTGTGCCTACCTGCTGTCACCATTTTCCACATCATCTTCATCAGCCCTTCCTGTTTCATAGCCTATTTAAAAACAACATTTCATATATTACTCATTGATAAGAACTTTTAAATGTATTAGCTTAGTCTATACAGCTGTATTTGTTTCCAGTCACAGGGGTTGCACAAGCTACAGCACTTTTAAGTGCCAGGTCCAAGCCCAGAAAAAGAGAGTCGTGTCAGAAAGGACAATTAGCGTAAAACCTGTGGCAGATAACCTATGCAGATAATCCACTCCAGCATTCCCTCATAGGAGCAGCCGAAAGAGAGTAAGAGTGAGAGTGATAGTGATAGTAAGAGAGAGAGAAAGAGAGAGAGAGAGAGAGAGAGAGAGAGACAGCTGTATCTGTTTCCCATGTGTTTCAGAATGAGCCAGAGTTTCTGTACTTTACCACAAAATATGCTTTCAGATAAATCTACACAGATTGTAACTCAGATTAAACATCTGGCTGGAAAAGGGAAACAAATGATCCCCATGGAGAAACTATTTCAATGTGCAACTAATAGGCCTAGTTGAAACAGAAACAAAAAAGTCTTACAGAATAAATGTGTAACCAAACACTTTTAAGAATAAAAAAAAATCACACAAATTTAACATACTTAGAATAGGATGGGCAGAAGGTCGTCTACCATCTGTGCATACATTCAGTGCAAAGTTATATGATATCACTACTGTCAAATCTATATTTTTAAATAGCCTCAAAGGGGATGTCTAATGCTATTTAATGCATTCAGACATATTTACACTGTTAAAGAGTTGGATTATCATGCTAAACATGACCTTCAGGGTTCGTATAAGTTTCAGAAAAAGTTTTCTTTTTTTTTTTCAAGTATGGCCCTGCATGACATCATGAAGGGCAGAATTCCTTGTATGGGCATTTCTCCCAGAAGAGCACGTACAGTCATCAGCCAGAGTGAGAGCAAGAGCACGCTCATCAATGTGCTTCATTCGTTAATTCGATAGCCATAGTTAATTTAAGTCCATAAAGTTTTTGTCCCTGTTTTATTTATGTCGATGTCACAGCTTGCAGACTTGCAGACAAATTTGATAAAACTAAAGACTCTTGGGAGATATGAAGGATTCAACTTTACTTTATAGGTACTCAAGATTAACATGAGATTAAAAGTAAAGTTGTAAAGAAATTTAGAGAAGTGAAAACACCATCTCACAAAACCTAACTCAAGAATTATTGAGAAGTGAAAACACCACTTCACAAAACGCAGTTGACTGCAGTTTAACAAACTCATGACAGTCATGTTATGTTCAAATACATTTAGCAAATCATGATAAGGAAGTAAATCTCTGCTATTTGAAGTCTTTCAGTAACACAAGAATTCCCTGATACAAGCTCTGCCGAGGCTTGTTCTTTCTAAATTTAAGCATGGCCACACTTCCCCTTTGGCAACCAAATAAGTAAGCAAATTAAAAGCATGTGTTTCACAGAAATCCCTCATGCAGACATAATCACTGAATGTGTATATAATATAAATTAAGAGTAAATATAAGTAGTTCCTTTGTTACCCTTAAAATGATTGTTAAAGGTATCCTTATGACGAGCATTTCTTTTTCTGAAACACAACAGAGCAAACAGCAGGCCGACAATAAGCGATCCAATGACCATCACACCAGCGACAATGTTTGTTGCATTAGATCTGGAAGAATCCTTGTTAACATCACCTGGAAAAACAAAATACATACAATTTACACCAGCACAGATTCTCCCTGAGTGTTGTAAAAATATATAACGTACTACAAGTAAAGATTATCTTCAGTACATTTGGCAGTTTTAGAATTTAGTAATCTGAGATATCTCTAGTAGACTATTGTGTTACAGTGTCAGTCCTTTATTGCACTACTGTAAATTGCATTGCTAAGAAAAATATAGACTCCAATGATACTGTAGCGTTTGAATGCAATCAAGATGTTCTATCAGGTTGTAGGTATCGTAAACTTTCCCTCCTCCCTTGTTATAACTAAATTACACTTAATTAACTTAAAGTAACTTAATTACTTATAGCAGATGTGATCTCCAGTGTGTTTTCTCCATCTTTTACATATTTGCTATTAAAGACGATGCATCTAAATGGTGCCAGGCCCAAGTTGATAGACTTGAAAGTCAGTTTGCTAGACAAAGCCACAGATTTTACACCCGCTGGGATTTTTGTCAGCTCTGAATTTATGGTCCAGTTGGTTCCAGAACGGTCAAACCAATGGATGAAGCCTTCTGGGTATCCATCAGTAGCATTGCAATAAAGGCTGGCAGGTCCTCCATCGGTTACATTTTTAGGCCATGTGCTTGTGACAGGATCCTTGTACTTTGCTTTATTGAGAAAGAACAAAACAATGATGAGTACCAAGACTCTTGCAAGGCAGTGTGCTTATGTGTATTTTTAGTCATATATATATATATAGTTTTATATGTTAGTTTTATGTTAATTATATGTTAGTTTTATAGTTTTATATGACTAAAGAAATTGAATCTCACCTCTGACACTGATGCTAAGTTGTATTTCTTCAAAACCACTGTCCGTTACAACACGGTACTGATATTTGCCCTCATCAGAAAACATTGTGTCAGAGATTTGCAGAGATGGACCCACTGCTAAGTTTTCAAGACTAAAGCGTGGATCTCCTGAACTTTCTGAACCAACTTGACTAAAAAATGGCTCGTTCTGTCCAGTTTTTGTTAAATAAACTCCAAGTATGTGAATATCTTTGACGTTTTTGAAAACGCATCTGATAACTGTGGTCTGAGCAAGAATTCCAACTGCAGGTAGGCATTCCACTTTAAGCAAACCTGTTGAAAACAAACATAAAATGTGGATTGTGGTACTTAAGAGGAAGCAGAACAAATTTCATGCAGTTTACATATTTGTAATTAAAGGAATGGTCAAATAAAGTTCTGTTGACATTATCTGTGGCATGCTGTTGATTAACCACAAAAAATAATTAACAGTATAATGCACTTAAATTGTATTGAGCCTGGAACATAAACTGCTGTAAGCACAAGAGTCATAATCTCTAGTAACATGGGTACAAACATTATTCTGAAAATTACATTGTGTTCCTATTTCTTAAACCCAACACTCAACAACAGCAAATGCAATTAATCTGTGTATTAAAGCATGTACCTGAATTGGGCATCACAGCAGGGGTGAAGAGAGAAACTACAAGCATAACCTTCACTGAAGACATGATTACTCTGAAATGAAAAGTAAAAAATTGAAAAATAGACTTAACAATAAACCTTCACTGAAGACATGATTACTCTGAAATGAAAAGTAAAAAATAGAAAAATAGACTTAACAATAACGATTTGTGTGTGTGTGTGTGTGTGTGTGTGTGTGTACTTGTTGAGATTGAACCCTATCTCTGTAAATTCCTATTGCAAAAGTTTGGACTGGGTTTCAGGAAGCATATGAACACTGATATTTCATTGCAAAAAAAAATAAAAAATAACTCACAGATGGTAGACAACCTTCCATAACATTACAAATGGTAGATGACCTTCCATATTCTAAATCCAGAATATGGTTCTTAATCAGAAAATGATGTGCACATAACCATGGTCACTGATAAGTGCATAAGTAATTGATTAAAGTTGAAAGATATAGAAAGATATTCTGTGTGTGTGTGTGTGTGTGTGTGTGTGTGTACTTGTTGAGATTGAACCCTATCTCTGTAAATTCCTATTGCAAAAGTTTGGACTGGGTTTCAGGAAGCATATGAACACTGATATTTCATTGCAAAAAAAAATTAAAAATAACTCACAGATGGTAGACAACCTTCCATAACATTACAAATGGTAGATGACCTTCCATATTCTAAATCCTGAATATGGTTCTTAATCAGAAAATGATGTGCACATAACCATGGTCACTGATAAGTGCATAAGTAATTGATTAAAGTTGAAAGATATAGAAAGATATTCTTACTGCTGATAGTGATTTCAGAATAAAGTATGTACAAATGTTTCTTTGTGAATTTACATCCATATCCACATTAAATTAACATTGCATTAACAGAATTGGTCATTCTCCATAAACTAGTTTGTTCTGCAGCTTCATTCTATAAGTTTTGGCCATATTCAACATATTGTATGTTGTAACATATATAACATCCCAAAACCAAAAGCTGTATATAAAGCTGCCTTGATAATCTTATTGTTTCTTAGCTGATAACTTTTTGTTTCCTTGTATAATATTTTAAATTCTACTGTTTAAGAAAGTATTATACCACTAAATTAAAAAATGATTGATTTATGTATTAAAGAATAAACAATAGTTCACCTCCAGAGCCAGAGGTAAGCCAACTTGATGTATTTTAGTGTTAAAGTTGACTGTTCTCATGAATAGTTATTTTAACTCATGCGCACAAACAGGTTTTAGGATATATACGTGAACAGTTCCGTGTATGAACGCATTAATAGAAACTATACCAAATATGTTAAGAGCCATCGCTCACGACAAATAAGCATAAGAGAGAGAGATACACTTTCTATTATTGTGCCCACATCTGCCGCTGTGTTTTAGTTATTCTAAGCGGTATTTGACCTCATTGTTTATATCAGGTGTTAGGCTACTTAAGGTAAACCATTGCTTACAAAGAGTTCATGCCAACGAATATTCAAATATAACACACTCGGATTTAGACCAAAACAGTAGAGAAAACTTACTGTGTAAATGCTCTTCAAATGGACAAGGAGAGGGAAATACAACCGAACGAAGCACGAAGGACAGGCTTTGTGTAAAGCTGAGCTGCTTTCACTTTCAATATGACTGTTTTAGCCACACCTATAGGCCTACATAAATTATGGGTTTACATACAATCTTTATTAGCCTACTCCTTTTCAATTCGTTTTTAATCAAATACTGGCGCCATTTACCCAAAAAACACAAAATATATGTATAAAATAGCTATATATACAATAAAACCGAATAACAAGTATAATGTTGATGGCAAGTTACATGCGGCTGTCAATGTGTATTCATTTGTGTTAAAAAAAATAAGGAGACTTACGTTAGTATTTTTATTATTATTTGTTTTAATGAACTCTAATAACTTGGCAATATCGCATAGGCTACTGTTTGTTTTCCCTTTACTGTCATCTAGAGGTCGCTTTTTGGTGTGTCTTTGTTTTTTTTTGTTTTTTTTTTTGTTTTTTGTTTGTTTTTTACTTTTTTTCTTTTAAACTTTGTATCCTTTTAGATGTAAAGCGCTTTGAGAACGAACTTTTAAAGGCGCTATATAAAAATACATTTATTATTATTATTAAAATATGAGCTGTAATAATAATAAAATTAATAATAATCAACTGAAAAAAAAGTAACTGTTAACTGCTTGTTCATATTTGTGCTAATGTTTTATTTTCTCATCTGTGTCGCTCTATGTAGGCGTAGGATGACCCAGAGCTGTACTTTTCCACTAAATATGTTTTGAGTTAAAATTAGAATGATTGTAACAATCAAAAAGATTGCAACTCTTAGAAAACATCTGGCCGGAAAAGTGAGAAACTGGATAGAAAAAAAGCACATACGACTATTCCACGCAGCATCTATTCAAAGTTCTTTCAAAATGGCTGTTAAGCTGGGTGTAAACGGTAATATTACGTTATATTATATTATATAATATATAAATATTGTTATATTGTCCTTTTCTCCTTACTTCACCAATTGAGGTAAACTACAAAACTCTATCATATCTCAGAAAGCCTAACTTATTTTAGTAGATATAATTTGACTGATTTCTTCATAACATTGTGTACTAAAAGTGCATTGTGCCCAAAATATCCTTAGCACACAGATCAAGATTTTCCAGTTTTAAAAATGACTGATGATTGTATCCTGTGACACATAGTAAGTGTATTGCACTTTATTTAATAACCTTGTTGCCTCTTTTAACAGCCTGTAATACAGCCTTACCTTAACTTTTTTTTTTTTTTAACTAACCTTAATTACATTTGATTGTGAACTATAACACCATTTCTCATTTCTGGACATATTAGGACAATGCTTATACTAGAATCAATAGAACTGAACATCAGTTTGACAAACAAAGCCATAGATTCTCTTAGATTATCTTATAGCCATAAGATCTTTAGCTTTTTTCATGACTGAATTAACTGCTCCAATGCACTATAAAGGTCAACTTTCAGGCTGGAAGTTCGTAATAGGATCTTTGTACTAGGTTTTAATTGAACGATTTTCAGCCAGACTCATTCTGAAAGCAAAACTAAATCTTAAACAGCTGACATTTGTGAATATGAATGTTGTATAAAACTGAAACATAAAGAGATTATAAAATTGTGAATTGTTTTACTGTTAAGAGAAATAAAAGTGAAAATTCATTAAGAATGAATCGTGCCCACTGATACCACAGTTTACCAGCAGTGTGAATGTTTGCTTTTGTAAATAAAGCCCATCTAAAGGTTGTCTGTTTGGGCTGAAAATAACACAATACCACATACAAATGCATAAGTCTGTATCAAATCAGATTAGACTGTTGCTGCACAAACTCCAGTTTTGTTCATAGCAAAAGTGAAACATGTAGACATGGGTGGTTTTGGCTTTTTAATAACATCCATAAAATAAAAATGCCAGATATAACATTTTTGGTGGAAGTACTTCTATATGTGCTCTGTTTCCCTGCAAAAAGACAATCCATATGATATATTTTACAGGGTTTTAGGGCACCACCAACAATGAGCAAGCTATGAAATAATTTGACACAGAATAAATAATTGAGAGTATTTGCAGTAGAGGATTCATTGCCATGTGTTCAAGACTTAAACATGAATCTCATTATGGTGTGCGATACATTAAATGTTTAAAATCTTTTTTTTTTTCCGTTATCTTTCGCTTTTGTTAAAGATACTTTTAATCTTGATCTCTTTATCTTGATATATTCAAATATAAAGGCATGCTTATAATGTTCTGCAATTAAAATTAAAAAGTGGTCCTCAGGGATGCACAGGGAATCTACTGAAAGGAACACAGCCATAACTACATTGAAAGAAAATTACTTGTAGGATTTACTTGATAAAATCTTCATAACAGTTTGCACATTCTAAGTAAGTTTCACTGCTACTGCTCTGTGCAATTTACCTGTTATTGTGAAGTAAAATATACTTACTATGAACTTAACAAGTTAAAGGGGTCATATGATGCGATTTCAAGTTTTCATTTTTTTGAACATTAAAGCATGTCAACATATTCTGTTACACCAAATACACAAAATAATTATCTTTAAAATAGCATCATATGACCCCTTTAAGTAAATTTAACAAAGAAAATAAGTTACTTTAGCTTGGCCAGTAAGAGTTCGAGTATTTTTTACTTACTTGGCAATCCTTTGATTTTACTCAATAGCACTGAATTAAACCATGGTTTTAAAGCGTATGTGTTCTAAGCAAACATCTAAGCAAATAATACAATAGATATCATGTAGACACCATATCTGCATAATTACTGTAGCAATGTCCCGAACACTGTCACACTGACCCGAACACAGAGACTTCAATATTTGGTACACAATACACAATGACAATCTACTTTAGCACATAATCTTTTTTACCAGTGTAAAGCAATGTGGTGACATGCTGAATTTTATAAAATAAAATAAGCTTATTTTTCTTGCTAAATATCCTTGTAATTAATGTTCAGTAAATTAAAGGTGTCATATGATAAGATTTCAATTTAACCAATCACAGCGCACTGGATAGCTGGCCAATCAGAGCACACCTTGCTTTTTAGACCGATGAGTTTTGTAAAAATCGACACGTTTCAGAAAGGCTGGGCATAGAGGAGAAACAATAATGTACAGTATGTGGAAAATAATGTGGTTTTTTTTACCTTAAACCGCATAAACACATTTCATTACACCAAATAATGTTATTTTTAGCAGCATCATATGACCCCTTTAAGCTTTTATTTCGCAGGGCACTTCCATAGCAGAAGAGTCTAAAAAGTTGTTTATGGCCTCTGTTTAATGCACTTTTGACACTCTCTGAAGTATGTATTTGTTTCTTTGGATCATTTTCTCATGAGGTCATACTCTCACAGCTGCAAAGTTACATTTGGGGGTGGACTGAGAAGGATTCATTCATTGCAAGAATTCTGAAGGCAAATGATGACATTTTCATATGAGGACTGACATTTGGGATTTGTGAACTTCTACACATAAACCCGCAGAATAATGATCTTTTCACTAAATAGTGTCATGTCCTCACTGGTTTTCACTCTTACTCTCCTGGGCTTCTAATCACTTCCATCTTCATCCTGCCTTCTACTTTGAGTGCTCTTGTTTGTCCTCTCTGGTGTTGATCCCTGTGCTCTCGTTTATATTTTCCATGTTCTTTCATTGTATTTTGTAAGTCCAGCAGTTGGGTTGACCATAACAACTTGTGTTTGACGCCTACCTGACAGAAGACTAGATCAACAAAATAAACCCAGCAGTATCTGAGTTCCAACAGTCCACTGGTTTTTCATAACGTGCTTGCAATAATTGCCAAATGTCTTTATTCTTGGAAGTAAATAGAGGCAAAGTCTTAAAGTAAGTGCTGTATAAAGCATACATTGGTTTTTAACTAGATTCTCAACCAACAATTGTTTTGTTCTTGTTTTTTGTTTTCACTGTCTGGAAAATCTGAAAAACAACAACAGAACTACACAAACTACAAATATTATACCTGGCTAGGAAAAATGTCTTCAAAAATGTATGAAAAAGTACTCAAAATGGGAAAAAAGTATGATCATTTAAAAAAAAACACACACATAATGTAATCTCATTTATAAATTAACGTATTTTACATTTCCTCTCAGTGGAATCAGCTCTATCCTTTGGAGTGGACTCTCGATTCCCAACATTTCCGAATCAAATAATCTGTTCTTTTGAAACTGTCTCTCAGCCTTATAATTAGTCCATTGTGTGTGGTATGATAATACTGAAATCTTGCAATAAATTTTCCCATTATTGTAATAAATACAGAACAAACATATTTTTCCAGTAAGAAATAATTTCAAATAAATTCCAACAAACAAATATGTTCAGTCAAATGATAAAGCAAAAGACATAGTATTCAAAAGTAAAACAAACAAAAAATATATTGTTGTAAGTCCCTTGTTTAAAAAACAAAACAACAACAACAACAAAATAAATAAATAAAAGTCAGCTTGTGTGAAGTCCAGTATTAAATTGTTTTGCATTTTTGGAGACTATGATGTTTTTTATTATTATTATAATTATTATTATTATTTTCTTTTTCTGAGCATTTTTTAAGTCTTATAAGTCCCTTGTTTCACATTCTGTATATACAATACATACTGTATATGTAAAAATACATTTACAAAAATTGCTCCAGTCAGATGAAAAGTAAAACTGAGCCATGAAGATGGACATTTTAGTAACGTGAGGATGTAACTAAAATATAACTGTAGAGACAGAGACTAAATCTTGTAGAAAGGGGGGTGTAGACTAGCTTTTCCTGTTTAACTGTCATGTAATCTGACACTATTTCTTAAATAAGGCTGTTGTAAGGATATTTTTGATAAGCCATCTGGTAACGTCTGAACAGCATTTCCTACTGTGGGGTGACATTCAAGCTTGCAAAAGTTTTTTTGAATAGGCCCTAGTAACCATTCAAAGCTGGATTTTTGTTCTTTAGTGAAGAGAGAACATATGAATCTTAAGTTATTTTTGACAGTATGTTTAAATGCAAACATAAAGGTGCCTGTTTCTGTTAATTAATTTTAACGGCAATATGATTATAAT